AGCATGGTGGCCAGCCGTGGTTAGGGCAGGGGTCGCAGAGTGAAGGAAGTGGGGTATGGTTGGTAGGAGCTGGGTAGGGGAAGTGCACGTCTCCTGCCCCAACGAACCCCGGCCCTTCCCACTTCACGTACCTGTGGGGCGCAATGGCTTCTTTTCCGCGGTGACCCCAGCTCTCAAAGCCACCTGGCTCTGTTCCGGGCCTCGGGCACCCCTACACGCATGCGCGTGCCCTTTCCATGCCCTTTGGCTTCGTAGCTCTGAGAGGACGGAAACCCAGAGGCGCGTGCCAGAGAAGTGCCGGTTACAGCCCCGCCCCTACCAGCCTCAATTTCAGAACTCTCCCTTTCTTGGTTTTAGCACCTCCCATCCACCAATTGGCTGTGAGGTTCACTAGGTCCGCCCCCTTCCTGAATGCTGATTGGTTCCGATAGCTATCGGCGGTCTTTAGGGGGCTGGTTGAAACCAGGCGTGCCAAGCGGAAGAAGGGTCATGGTAGCCCCCATGCACAGCAGTCCCCCAAGCAGCCACAGACATATTCCCTAGAAAACTTATATAGTTGGCCCGGCGTGGTGGGTCACGCCTGTAATCCCAGCACTTTGGGAGGCAGAGGCAGGTGGCTGGCTTGAGCCCAAGAGTTCAAGACCACCCTGGACAACATAGGGAGACCCTGACTACAAAAAATAAATTAGTGTTGGGCGCGGTGGCTCACGCCTGTAATCCCAGCACTTTGGAAGGCCAAAACGGGCAGATCACGAGGTCAGGAGATCGAGACCATCCTGGCTAACACGGTGAAACCCCGTCTCTACCAAAAATACAAAAACTTAGCCAGGCATGGTGGCAGGCGCCTGTAGTCCCAGCTACTCGGGAGGCTGAGGCAGGAGAATGGCGTGAACCCGGGAGACGGAGCTTGCAGTGAGCCGAGATCGCACCACAGCACTCCAGCCTGGGCAACAGAGCGAGACTCCATCTCTAAATAAATAAATAAATAAATAAATAAATAAATAAATAAATAAGCTGGGCGCAGTGGTGCGTGCCTGTGTGCCCAGCTACTTGGGAGGCTGATGCAGGAGGATCGCTTAAGACTAGGAGGTGGAGGCAGCAGTGAGCCATGATCAGACCCCTGCACTCCAGCCTGAGGGAAAGGGCAAGACTCCCTAAAAGAGAAAAAATTAGGCCGGGTGCGATGGCTCACGACTATATATCCAGCGACTCAGGAGGCTGGGGCAGGAGAATTGCTGGAATCTGGGAAGTGGAGGTTGCAGTGAGCTGAGATAGCACCACCGCACTCTAGACTGGGCAACAGAATAAGAGTCCATCTCAAAAAAAAGTTAGTATAGTGTTGTGATTCATAGCTAGGCTTGGTTTAAATGCCCAAAGTGGCACAATTGGGCTGTGTGACCTTGGAAACGTTTGTAACTGGTCAGACTTAGTTTTCTGATCTGTAAAATGGGATTGGTAATAAAACTAGCTTCCTCATTTGGTTGCTAGAAGGATAAACTAGACCAATATGTCTAACTTGAAATGGGCCTGGTGAATGAAGAATGCCTGGAAGCTTTGTTTCTCACCAAGTTTTGCTTCAGGAACTGCTCCAATTTATCTGTCTACACTTGTCCCCTCAGACTTTACTTAAAAATTTTTTTTTCTCAGCTGGGCACAGTGGCTCACGCCTGTAATCCCAGCACTTCGGGAGGCCAAGGTGGGTAGATCATGAGGTCAGGAGATCGAGACCATCCTGGCTAACACAGTGAAACCTCATCTCTACTAAAAATACAAAAAATTAGCCGGGTGTGGTGGCACACGCCTGTAGTCCCACATACTTGGGAGGCTGAGGCAGGAGAATCACTTGAATCCGGGAGGCAGAGGTTGCAGTGAGCCGAGATCACACCATTGCACTCCAGCCTGGGCGACAGAGCGAGACTCTACCTCAAAAAAAAGAAAAAAAAATTATCTCTCTTTTTTTGCTTTTTTTTTTTTTTGAGACAGAGTCTTGCTCTGTTGCCCAGGCTGGAGTGCAGTGGCACTCTCGGCTCACTGTAAGCTCCGTCTCCTGGGTTCACACCCTTCTCCTGGCTCAGCCTCCCCAGTAGCTGGGACTACAGAGGCCCACCACCACGACTGGCTAATTTTTTTGTTTTTTTAGTAGAGACGGGGTTTCACCATGTTAGCCAGGATGGTCTCGATCTCCTGACCTCGTGATCTGCCCGTCTTGGCCTCCCAAAGTGCTGGGATTACAGGCGTGAGCCACCGTGCCCGGCCAAAAATTTCTCTCTTATTAAACCACTGACTTGAAGGCATAATTATGACTTCTTTTCTTTTCTTTTTGAGATGGAATTTCAATCTGTCACCCAGGCACAATCTCGACTGATTGCAACCTCCACCTCCCGGGTTCAAGCTATTCTCCTGCCTCAGCCTCCCAGGTAACTGGGACTACAGGCATAGACCACCATGCCCAGCTAATCTTCATTTTTTTTTGAGACGGAGTCTCGTGCTCTGTCTCCTAGGCTGGAGTACAGTGGCACAATCTCAGCTCTCAGCTCACTGCAAGCTCTGCCTCCCGGGTTCACGCCATTCCCCTGCCTCAGCCTTGCGTAAGCTGGGACTAGAGGTGCATGCCACCACGCCTGGCTAATTTTTTGTATTTTTAGTAGAGACGGGGTTTCGCCATGTTAGCCAGGATGGTCTCAAACTCCTGACCTCGTGATCCGCCTGCCTCGGCCTCCCAAAGTGCTGAGATTACAGACGTGAGCCACCGCGCCTGGCCTAATCTTTGTATTTTTTAATAGAGATGGGGTTTTGCTATGTTGGTCAGGCTGGTCTCGAACTCCTGACCTCAAGTGATCCGCCCACTTCAGCCTCCCAAAGTACCAGGATTACAGGAGTGAGCCACTGTGCCTGGCTGATTATGACTTCTTTTTTGGAGACAGGGACTCACTCTGTCACCCAACCTGGAGTGCAGTGACACAATCATGGCCCACTGCTGCCTCATCTCCCGGGCTCAAGCAATCCTCCCACCTCAGCCTCCCAACCTCCCAAGTAACTGGGACTACAGGCACTTACCTTTTTTTTTTTTTTTTTTCTTGAGACAGGGTCTCACCTGGCTCCTTCAGACTTTGTTTGTTTATGTAATTAAGACAGAGTCTCGCAGTGTCACCCAAGCTGGGCCGCTGTATCGCCCTGGCTGGGCTGCAGTAGCACCATCTCAGCTCACTGCAACCTCTGCCTCCCAGACTCAAGCGATTATCCTGCCTCAGCCTCCCAAGTAGGTGGGACTACAGGTGTGTGCCACCATGCCCAGCTAATTTTTTTTTTTTTTTTAGTAGAGATGGGGTTTCGCCATATTGACCAGGCTGGTTGACCTCAAATGATCTGCCCATGTCAGCCTCCCAAAGTGCTGGAATTACAGGCATGAGCCTCCATGCCGGTCTCCCTCACACTTTAAAATCAAGCTATTCCACGATATTCCCCCTGCCTAAAAAGAAAGTGATTACCTGTGTCATTTCTTTCTGCTTGCCCAGCCTTCATTATCTTTCAGACCCAGCTGAGATACTACTCCTAGGAAACCCATAGTCCTCAGAGTCCTTCTCCTCTTCCTCCCCAGAGGTTCCTGTCTCAGACACAACTTTGACACCTGTACACCTTTGTATCTGGATCTGTCTCCCTGAATACACTGGAACAAGGTCAGGAGCTCACCCACTCATTTCCTATTCATTCAGCAAGTACTTGTGGAACAACCACTGTGTGCCCAACCCGTTCCAGGGAAGTGGATTGAAAAAGAACATAAACACAATGAATAACACTCATCTCTGTCTCAGTATCAATCCACCTCGAAGGAATAAATACATGGGAAGGTCCCACCTGGAGTGGGGCTACAAGAACATGACCAGGACGTTTAGCGGGGAGTGAGACCCCCACCTGGTCCCAGAGAAGAGGGAGATCTGAGAAGACACTGAGGTCTGAGATTAATTTGGGGCGGCTTTCGGGGAGAGGCGCGACCCTAGGTGGCCTTGGTTGTGGATGTAGGTTTCAGAGCTCAGACACACCCAGTTGGCCTGTGGGTTTAGAGAGGGGTGTAGAGGCTGCAGATCTGCAAGATGATCTGCCGGAGGGACGCCAGACTGGACCTGAGCCCTGGAGGCGTCTCTAATTTCCTTTCTCTTTCTGCACCTTCTTCTACCCTCCACGCAGGTCCACGCAGGTCCTATGGTGTCTTGAATGCGAATATACGTAGTTTATATGTTACGCCGCGCGCGCGCGCACACACACGGTGTTTTGAGTAGGGGTCCTGTGATGTCTTGAATGCAAAGATATGTGCTTTAGATTTTTTTTTTTTTTTTTTGAGATGGAGTCTCGCTCTGTCGCCCAGGCTGGCGTGCAGTGGCGCGATCTCGGCTCACTGCAAGCTCCGCCTCCCGGGTTCACGCCATTCTCCTGCCTCAGCCTCCCGTAGTAGCTGGGACTACAGGCGCCCGCCACCAAGCCGGGCTAATTTTTTGTATTTTTAGTAGAGACGGGGTTTCACCGTGTTAGCCAGGATGGTCTCGATCTCCTGATCTCGTGATCCGCCCGCCTCGGCCTCCCAAAGTGCTGGGATTACAGATTACAGGCTTGAGCCACCGCGCCCGGCCGTACTTTAGATCTTTAGATTTAAACACACACACACACACACACACACACACACACACACACACACACACACACACACACACAGTGTTTTGAGTAGGGGAAGCCCACGAGCAGATAGGCTCACTAAAGCCCTGGCGCTGCCTTAGAGTGGCTCCTTAGAACGGAGCCTCGAATTTTTACGTTTTGTCATCTTCCTTTTCTGTCCCCCACATCAGTAGAAAATGGGAGCGTCCCCTCCTAGCCAGGTGCATTCGAGCCACCCCTTCAAGGGAATCCAAGAATGGACTCGTCCACTCTCTCCCCTCCCCCACCACGTGAATGGGCCCCCCGCCCCTCCGCCCCCCCGCAACAGTAGGTGGTCCCTTCCGCACATTTGGCTCTGTGCAGCAAATGGTTTCTTCCCATTTGCTAGAAAGACGGCTAGATCTTCCCGCCCACTCTCGACTCTTCAGGTAGTTCGCCCCTCCCCGTGGCCGGTGGGTGGTTTCTCCCTCCTCCCCGCCTCGGGAGCTGGATGGTCTAGCCCCTCCCTCCCCCCACCCCGTGCCGGGTGCGCGGCCTGGGAGTCCGCCGCCCGAGCGGGAAGCGCCGGGCGAGCCCACTGCGCGGCCATCGTGGGGGAAGCGAAGGTTCCTGATTCCGAAGGTTTCTGTCCCTGGAGAGGAGGCGGCGCCCTGTATCGGCCTTCGTCCTCCGCGGGTGTGCTATCGTTGGGACGGTCCTTTGTTGCCTCGAGGGGGAGGAGTGGGCGTGGCGGAGCCAGCTCGGTCTGGAACACTCCCGGGCCGACCCGACTCGCTCATCCTGCAGGAGCTGCGGCGCCAAGATGAGCCGAGAGGAGAACCCAGCCAGCAAGCCCACGCCGGTGCAGGACGTACAGGGCGACGGGCGCTGGATGTCCCTGGTGAGCGTTCCCACCTGGGATATTGAGGAGTCCTGGGGGCGGGGGGCGGGGGTGGCTCAGGAGAACGGCTGGTTCGTGCCACTCTCACTACCTGATTGGGAAACTGAGAGCAGTTGGGGAGGCGCTGCCTAAGGGAGCAGGGCGGGGTGGGCCCAGGAGCGTGCGTGCCATTGACTCCCTCTCGCGCGCTCCCGCAGCACCATCGGTTCGTGGCTGACAGCAAAGATAAAGAACCCGAAGTCGTCTTCATCGGGGACTCCTTGGTCCAGCTAATGCACCAGTGCGAGGTGAGGGCAGTCCCTCTCTCCCTGCCCCATCCAGCCCTGTGCCCATGCTGACACATCTGGACCAGAACCCCGGCCAGGTGGGGTATTATGGGAGTACCCGGATTGGCCTGAGGCAGCCTGAGGCTCCGAGAATCTTGGTGTAAGGTGCAACATTCTATTGAGAAGGAATTGTATGCCTTGGTTTTATCAGATTGGATTTGTGTATAATGTACTAAGACCTAAAATAAGGTTTTCCTGCCATAGGCTTGCCTAAAGTGAGGCTCTTTCTTGTTTGCTTTAAGCAGTGTGAAGCCCTGATGGGTTTACACAAAGCTATAGTCACTTTACAGGAAGTGAAGGTCAACTCTAATGGCACTCCACAAAAAGGACTCAATCATAATAATATCTTTCCACGAAGCATGTCCAACTGTAATGGCTTTCATCAAAATAAGTTTCAACTGTAATACCGTTGGTTCAATGCATGGCTCAAACAGACTGGATTTTCATAGTGAGTCTTGCTTCTGTGGGGCTTGGTTTATTTTGTTTGTTGGTTGGTTGGTTTTTGAGACAGGGTCTTGCTCTGTCACACAGGCTGGCTTGCAGTGGTATGATCTCTGTTCACTTCAACCTCTGCCTCCTGGGCTCAAGCGATCCTCCCACCTAAGCCTCCTGAGTAGCTGGGACTACCGGTGTCCACCACCATGCACCTGGCTAATTTTTGTAGAGATAGGGTTTTGCCCTGTTGCGCGGGTTGGTCTTGAACTCCTGGGCTCAAGCAGTCAACCCACCTCAGCATGAGCCACAGAGCCTGGGGCTTGGTTTAAAGTGAGACTCTAGGCCAGGTGTGGTGGCTCACACCTGTAATCCCAGCACTTTGGGAGGCCGAGGCAGGCGGATGACCTGAGGTCAGGAGTTCGAGACCAGCCTGGCCAACATGGCGAAACCCCGTCTCTACTAACAATACAAAAATTAGCTGGGCACGGTGACACATACCTATAGTCCCAGGTACTTGGGAGGCTGAGGCAGGAGAATCGCTAGAACCCAGAGGCAGAGATTGCAATGAGCTGAGATCACACTACTGCACTCCAGCCTGGGCGACAAGAGTGAAACTCCGTCTCAAAAAATAAATAGGCTGGGCACTGTGGCTCATGCCTGTAATCCCAACACTTTGGGAGGCTGAGGTGGGTGGATCACCTGAGGTCAGGAGTTCGAGACCAGCCTGGCCCACATGGTGAAACCCCCATCTCTACTAAAAAATACAAAAAGTTAGCCGGGCATGGTGGCATACGCCTATAGTCTCAGCTACTCGGGAGGCTGAGACATGAGAATCGCTTGAACTAGGGAGGCGGAGGTTGCAATGAGCCGAGATAGTGCCACTGCACTCCAGCGTGCATGACAGAGTAAGACTCTGTCTCAAAAATAAAATAACTCTGTCTCAAAAATAAAATGAAAAATAAATAAATAAAAGTTAATAGGTTTCTATAAAGTGAGGTTCAGCCATGCTGGAGTTTTGCTCCAGGTGAAATTTTAAGACTGCTTCCATGAAGTAAGATTCTTCCATAATGGCATTCGGTTAACACCTGGACAGAGGGGGATGGTCCATGGGGACAGTGCCCTTGTGCCCATACCATTTCTTGCCCACAGATCTGGCGGGAGCTCTTTTCTCCTCTGCACGCACTTAACTTTGGCATCGGTGGTGATGGCACACAGCATGTACTGTGGCGGCTGGAGAATGGGGAGCTGGAACACATCCGGCCCAAGGTGAGCGGGGCTTGGGTGGGGCTCTAAAACATGTTTTGGCTGCCCCCTCACCGCTGCTTCATGTCTCTTTTCCCACAGATTGTGGTGGTCTGGGTGGGCACCAACAACCACGGACACACAGCAGAGCAGGTGACTGGTGGCATCAAGGCCATTGTGCAACTGGTGAATGAGCGGCAGCCCCAGGCCCGGGTTGTGGTGCTGGTGAGAGGCTGGGAGGGTGGGAAAGGAAGAATGGCAGTGGTCTGGGACCCCCTCAGATACAGCCACAGTTGGCACGGTTCTGGGCAACTTGACATAGAGCAGTGGCTTTCAGGCAGAATCTCACATTGGAGCTTGCTGCACCCTTCAGAGTGGCTATGGTTGCAAATGTGCTCAGAGACCAGTTAGCCTTTTTTGCCCAGGGATGGCTTGAGACTTTGGGGGTATTGAAAAACTAAAAAACGGTTGGGCACGGTGGCTCGTGCCTGTAATCCGAACACTTTGGGAGGCCAAGGTGGGAGGATAACCTGAGGTCAGGAGTTTGAGACCAGCCTGGCCAACGTGGCAAAACCCTGTCTCTACTAAAAATACAAAAATTAGCTGGGCATGCTGGCATGCGCCTGTAATCCCAGTTACTTGGGAGGCTAAGGCAGGAGAATCACTTGAACCTGGGAGGCGGAGGTTACAGCGAGCCGAGATCACGCCATTGCATTCCAGCCTGGGCAACAGAGCGAGACTCCGTCTCAAAAACAAAAAGAAGGCCGAGGTGGGTGGATCACGAGGTCAGGAGATCGAGACCATCCTGGCTAACACGGTGAAACCCCATCTCTACTAAAAATACAAAAAATTAGCTGGGTACGGTGGCGGGTGCCTGTAGTCCCAGCTACTCAGGAGGCTGAGGCAGGAGAATGGTGTGAACCTGAGAGGCGGAGCTAGCAGTAAGTGGAGATCATGCCACTGCACTCTAGCTTGGGCGACAGAGAGAAACTGTCTCGAAAAAAGAAAAATTCAAAAATGGTTGGGCATGGTGGCTCCTGCCTGTAATCCCAGCACTTTGAGAAGCTGAGGTGGGAGGATCGCTTGAGCCCAGGAGTTCAAGACCAGCCTGGGATGTAGCAAGACATTGTCTCTACTAAAAATTGTTAAAAATTAGCTGGGCGTGGCTGGGCGCAGTGGCTCATGCCTGTAATCCCAGAACTTTGGGAGGCCGAGGCGGCCGGATCATGAGGTCAGGAGATCGAGACCATCCTGGCTAACATGGTGAAACCCCGTTTCTACTAAAACATACAAAAAACTAGCCAGGCGAGGTGGCACACGCCTGTAGTCCCACATACTTGGGAGGCTGAGGCAGCAGAATGGAGTGAACCCGGGAGGCGGAGCTTGCCGTGAGCTGAGATCGCGCCACTGCACTCCAGCCTGTGCGACAGAGCAAGACTCCGTCTCAAAAAGAAAAAAAAATTAGTTGGGCATGGACTGGGCGCAGTGGCTCATGCCTGTACTCCTAGCACTTTGGGAGGCTAAGGTGGGCGGATCACCTGGGGTCGGAAGTTCAAGACCAGCCTGACCAAATGTGGAGAAATCCCACTAAAAATACAAAATTAGCCGGGCGTGGTGGCACATGCTTGTAATGCCAACTACTCGGGAGGCTAAGGCAGGAGAATCGCTTGAACCCAGGAGGCGGAGGTTGGGGTGAGCCAAGATCGCACTATTGCACTCCAGCCTGGGCAACGAGTGAAACTCTGTCTCAAAAAAAAAAAAAAAAAAGGCCAGGTGCGATGGCTCACTCCTGTAATCCTACCACTTTGGGAGGCCGAGGCGGGCAGATCACAAGGTCAGGAGATCGAGACCATCCTGGCTAACACAGTGAAACCCCGTCTCTACTAAAAATACAAAAAGTTAGCTGGGTGTGGTGGTGGGCACCTGTAGTCCCACCTACTCGGGAGGCTGAGGCAGAAGAATGGCATGAACCCGGGAGGCGGAGCTTGCAGTGAGCCCAGATCGCGCCACTGCATCCAGCCTGGGCAACAGAGCCAGACTCTGTCTCAAAAAAAAGAAAAAAGAAAAAAAGAAAAATAGCTGACTATGATGGTGTGCAAAACCTGTAACCCCAGCTACTTGGGAGGCTAAAGGGGAAGGATCACTTGAGCCCAGGAATTCAAGGTAACAGTGAGTTGTGATCATGCTACCGCACGCACTCCAGCCTGGGTGACAGAGACCCTGTCTCACCAGAAAACAAAAATCCTCAAAAAACCTTGAATAGGCCAAAAGTTGTCAGGCATTCCTGGGGTAAATCTAGGCTTCATCACTTGTGGGTAGCTAAGACATTTCCTCTTCTGAAGGGGGATTGATCCCTTGTCATGAGCCATGATGTTGATATCTTTTATTTATTTATTTTTTTTGAGACAGAGTCTTGCCCTGTTGCCCAGGCCAGAGTGCAGTGGCACAATCTGGGCTCACTGCAACCTTCTCCTCCTGGGTTCAAGCGATTCTTCTGCCTCAGCCTCCAGAGTAGCTGGGACTGCAGATGTGCACCACCACGCCTGGTTAATTTTTGTATTTTTATTTTATTTATTTATTTATTTATTTTTTTGAGACAGAGTCTCGCTCTGTTGCCCAGGCTGGAGTGCAGTGAAGCGATCTCAGCTCGCTGCAAGCTCTGTCTCCCAGGTTCACGCCATTCTCCTGCCTTAGCCTCCTGAGTAGCTGGGACTACAGGCACGTGCCACCACACCCAGCTGGTTTTTTTTTTTTTTGTATTTTTTTAATAGAGATGGGGTTTCACTGTGTTAGTCAGGATAGTCTAGATCTCCTGACCTTGTGATCCACCCACCTTGGCCTCCCAAAGTGCTGGGATTACAGGAGTGAGCCACTGCACCTGGCCTAATTTTTGTATTTTTAGTAGAGATGGGGTTTCACTACGTTGGCCGGGCTGGTCTTGAACTCCTGACCTCAAGTGATCCACCCACCTCAGCCTCCCAAAGTGCTGGGATTACAGGAGTGAGCAACCGTGCCTCACGTATTTATTTATTTATTTATTTATTATTTTTATTTATAAAGAACAGATTTATTTCTTACATTTCTGGAGGCTGGGAAGTTTAGGATCAAGGGGTCAACATCTGACAGGGGCCTTCTTTCTCAGTCATCCCATGGTGGAAAAAAGGTCAAGAGAGGGGAAGAGAGAGAGAGACAGACAGAGACAGTACAAGAGAGCCATTTATTTATTTTTTGAGACAGGATCTGGCTCTGTTGCCCAGGCTGGAGTGCGGGTGGCATGTTCTAAGCTCACCGCAACCTCTGCTTCCAGGGCTCAAGTGATCCTCCCATCTCAGCGTCCCAAGTGGCTGGGACTACAGGCACACGCCATCATGTCCCGCTAATTTGTGTGTATTTTTGTTAGAGATGGGGTTTCACCATGTTGCCCAGGTTGGTCTCGAACTCCTGGGCTCAAGCGACCCATCCAGCTCTGTCTTGCGTCATGCTGGGATTACAGGCGTGAGCCACTGCACCTGGCCAACGTCAACGTTTTTCTAAGTGATACTTGGGAAGAGGCTAAAACCCAGAAGTCTCTTGCTAAATGAGAGCTAGGATGTGATATTTAGGAACTACCCTCCTGCCCTCCCCACTTGCCCATCCCTAGTGTTTTCTGCAGCTGGAAACTTCATGGTGTTGGGTGAAGGACAGGTTGGCATAGAGAACAGGATACCCAAATGCTTGTTTCCTTACTACACCTCGTGTTCCTGCTCAGGGTCTGCTTCCGCGAGGCCAGCATCCCAACCCACTTCGGGAGAAGAACCGACGCGTGAATGAGCTGGTACGGGCAGCACTGGCTGGCCATCCTCGGGCCCACTTCCTAGATGCCGACCCTGGCTTTGTGCACTCAGATGGCACCATCAGCCACCATGACATGTATGATTACCTACATCTGAGCCGCCTGGGCTACACACCTGTTTGCCGGGCTCTGCACTCCCTGCTTCTACGTCTGCTGGCCCAAGACCAGGGCCAAGGTGCTCCCCTGCTGGAGCCCGCACCCTAAGCATCCTGCTGCCTTCCCACAACATTAAACTCTCCTTCCTTGGTGAGCTGTTTCCTGCTTTATGGTCAAACCTGTCTGGGTATCTGGGTACCACCACTAGTCCTTATCCTGATCTGTGACCCTGCAGTTCTGCAAGGTTTTTTGTGTAAGACAGGGTCTCTCTCCATCACCCAGGCTAAAGTACAGTGGTGAGACCACAGCCCACTGCAACCTCAACCTCCCAGGCTCAAGTGATCCACCCACCTCAGCCTCCTGAATAGCTGGGACTATAAGCCTGTGCCACTATGTCCAGCTTGTTGTATTTTTTGTAGAGAAGTGGTTTTGCCATGTTGCCCAGCCTGGTCTGACTCCTGAGCTCAAGCAATCCACCCACCTTGGCCTCCCAGGGTGCAGGCATTACAGACATGAGCCACCATGCCTGACTGTGGTTCTATTTCTGCCCAGGGGAGGCATCACTGATCCATCAAGGCACTGTGATTCTTGAGGTTAGGTTAATTTCCACTATCACAATAGTGTGCTTCAGGCAGGCGCTACCAATCAGTAAACACTAGGTAAGACCGGCTTGCCAGCACTATCCTACAAGACCAAGGTCAAGCAAGAATTCGGGGAACACAGTGACCCAGTACAGTCAAGCCCAGCGTACCCTGTCCATCTCTGCATATGCTGTTGCCCTGGCTGGAACTTCCAGGTGCTCCAGCTCTAGCTTAGATGCCGCTTCTGTGGAGATGTCCTGATCCTCCCACTGCTAGTTGTCATCCCTCCACACATGGTGTGGGTATCTGTCACCTCGGGTGGGCACTGTGTCCACATGCTGAGCAGGAGGGGTGTCACTCAGGGGAGGGGTCAAGCCCAGTTGCAGTGCTGGCCCAGGCCACATGGGGGTAGCAGGGGTCACAGGACAAGAGTACTCCAGGTAGACTAGGCTCCCTCCCACCCACTACCACCTCTGGGCTAAGACCTCTTGGGGCCTGTTTCCTGAGGACGAATGACCCCAGAGCCAGTGAGGCTAAACCATCAGGTGGCATCTTGCCTCAGGCCTTCCCCAAACTCATGCAGTCCAATGGCTGAGAACGGGGCCAGCAGGCATTGAGACTCCCTGGGCTCCTAAACTGGAGAGGGGCCATCTGTTCCACAGCAAGTCAGCGACCTGGCCTGTGGGGTTCCTCTGATGTTGGGGGCAGTGGTACTGGAATTGTTCCCCCCACATCATGGAAAGCATACCGCTCCACAACAACTGAGGACAGGACGTACAACCAACAGCCCTCCCTGTTAAGAGCCTGCAGCCACACAGGTGTGTTAAACAGCTTTAATCTCGCTCATTGTGGCTTCTCGGCACAGTAAGAAATATTGCACATGATCAACATGTTTTGTTCTGGGGAAGGGGGCAAGGGCAGGGGGAATCACCTTCTTAGAAAGTACAACCCAAGTTGGGAGGGCAGAGGGGGTGAGGAGAAAACCCTCCCCGTGCCTGTGGCAAAGTGCAGGAGCCCCCACCCCCAAACTAACCTGAGTCCAGCCCCTCTGGGGAAAAAAGGGGTGCATGAACTCCCCGTATTCCACAGGCGCCTCCCTGTGGCCCAAGGCCCACACCACCCTCCAGCTTGCAGCCCTCACAGGAGCCATTTTGCATAAAGTGAAAAGCTCTGAAGGTCACACACTCCAGGTTATGTACAGGGGCTTGGAGGAGGGAGACTGCCCCTGCGGCCCCTCAGCTGCCCCCCAGCACCGGGAGGGAGCTTCAAGGGAAGGGGGTATTTACAAGAGGAGCAGGCCTCATTCCGCCCCAAACTGGAGAGGACGAAATGGCTTTACCCGAGAGGAGATAACCTTCCTGCCCCCACATACTGTCCATGTCCTGAGGGGGTACTATGAGTCCTGGCATGTTCTCAGGGTTCCCTCACCTGCCTGTGGCAGCTGTGGAGGGACCTGGCGGTGGGGGAGAGGGCTGGGGAGCCCCCTCCCAGCCAGGCTGTCCAGGCCCCGACTCTGGGGGCGGAGGCAGTGGCGGGGCAGCCTGGACCGTGCCAGAGTCCGAGCTGGGCGAGGTGGGGTCAGGGCCCCCTGCAGGGCTGGGAGTGGGGGCAGGGGCAGCAGCGGTGCCAGTGGGGGGCGGTACAGGGAGAGGAGCCTCAGCTCCAGGGGGCTGCTCGGTGGGAGTGGCTGCCTGCATGATCTTCTGGCGCACCTCACGGATCTTCAACTGCAGACAAACCTTGGAGGGGAAGATGTCTGCATAGCGGGCCTGGAAGGCGGCTGTGGCCTGGGCTGGAGACAGAAAAACAGTGGGGAGCACAGGATGAGATGTACAGACAAGTCACACCCGAGTGACCCCAAGACTCCAAGACAGGCTCACCTGATGGGAAGAAGCCATGGTCCTGGAAGAGCTGCATGACCAGGGCCCGGCGCTGGTCTAGGGTGCGCCGCAGGGAGGAGTACGGCACCTTCTCATACTCTAGCTCCCCAAGCACATCCTCGGCTTCTGTACCTGTGCAGGGCACAGGCAGCATGGCAAGGCTGCAGCAGCAGCAGGGCCTTCCTACCACCGTCTGAGTGCCCATCCGAGCCCTCACTGCATTCTATTTCACAGTGGAGTCAGAGAGGGGTCCCGCCCACAGTCACAGGGCAACTTAGGGGCCTGCCAGACTCCAGAACCCAGCCCTGACAGGCTGTGCTTCCTCCCAGCCTGGATGGACCCACCCTACCTCTCCCACTCTAACTGCCTTCCAGAGACCCACTCCTCTTGCAGGCCCCCCGAGTTCTGCCCACCACGGCACCTGTACGGTCAAAGGTGAAGATGTCCCCCTCGCACTTGGCACTCTTGGGGGTGTTGGGCTCCGAGCTGCAGCTGGAGCGTCTTCTCATCTTGCGCTTGGGCGAGGTAGGGTCCTCGGGTGCTGAATCCAGGTCTGGCCAAACAGAAGCAGACTCAGTGCAGGTGGCCCCAGTCTGCCCTCCACCTATGGACCCTGGTTGTCCGACGCTCGCCTACCCGTGGAGTTCTTCCTCTTCTTGCGGTAAGAGCCCAGGATGGCCCGGGGTGAGGTGGCCAGAGACTGCAGGGTGGGGGAGGGCAGCACCTCCTCAGGCCGAAACTCAGGCAGCTCAGCAAAGCGCTCTTCGAAGTCCACTTCTGACAGGACCCTGCTGGAGGGCTGGCAGGGTCACCTCCCCCACCTCGGCCTGCAGCGGCTCCCACTCCCACCACCCCAAACGCTCCACCAAGGCCCCAGCCCATGCTCACTTGTCCACAGAGTCAAAGGTCTTCTTCAGGGGCGGGGGCCGCACCTTCACCTTCTTGCCAGTACCAGCCGCCTCCTTGCGCTCGGGGGTATCCCCGGCTGCCCGCCCACTGCTGCTCTCGCTGCTGCCACCAGGGGCTACGGCTGGAGCTGGGGCTGGGCTGGGAGGAGTGGGAGGCTCCCCACGATTCTCCAGGCCCTGCCCAGGGACGCGCCAGTCTGAAGATGAGCTGGGGAATTTGCTGGCCTGGGATGGAGATAGGCAGGGAGATGGAGAACACTGAGCTCAGAATCTGAGGCAAAGGCCAGAAACAGAGTTGGATCTGAACTCGCCCGGCAGACCCCTCGAGAAGGCCGTCACACAGCCTCAGGAAGGCCAAGACAGGGGTCTCAGATGGGAGGGGAGACAACACAGGCAGGCAGAAAGGACAGGGGGACCCTTTAACCTGAGAGACACACAGGCATGGAGGGAAGAGGAGTAGGACAGAAAAGCAAAGACGTCAACGGAGAGGCACAGCCAAGTGGCAGTGGGAGCCCCACGGCCTGCAGGCACTCACCATGGTCTCAGGACCCTTGGCGCTGGTCCGCTCCTCAGCAGGCGGGGGCGGTGGGGGGCTGCTCCGGGCCGTGGGAGTCCAGGTCTCTGGGGCAGGTGGAGGGGCTGGTGGTGTGGGCTGCCCCTCAAGCTCAGACTCTGGGGCAGTTGGCTCTCGGGCTGGGCCAGGCTCCAGAGGCTGCCGGGGTGCAGGACCAGGTCGCCCAGAGGCACCTGCCTCAAAGGACCCCACAGGAATGCTGGCGATGGCTGCCTTCACTTTCTGGGGGGCCTTCGGGCTGGGCCGCTGGGCCTTGGGGGCCACTAAGCTGTAGGTCATGGAACCTGCTAGTGGTGAGAAAAGTGTTTGCTGAGCAAGGCCTGACTGGAGCCCATCCCCTGGGTCCCCCAACTCACCCTGCTCTGGGTTGATCTGACACCTACCTGTGGCACTAGGGAAAGGGCTAGTCGGGGCTGGGGTGGCAGTGGCAGGGGCTGGCGGGCCCTTGGGCAGAATGGTGGCTGCAGGTGGGGTTGTGCTGGTGGCCACAGTGTAGACCAGGCTTGGGGGGGCCTGGGACGGCTGGGCCAGGGGTGCTGAGGAGGTGGGTGCAGGGCTGCCAGAGTAAAACGCCGTTATGACAGGACCTCCGGGGGCTGCACAGGCAGGTGGCAGCTGGGGACTGGGCACAGGCGACACGCCCACCTGACCGGGAGCCAGCAGTGGGGCTTGGCCTGCTGAGAGACAGAGAAGGAGAAGCAGGAGACCAAGTTAGGGCCCAGACTGCCTCAGCCCCACCCTGGGTCCCCAGCACTGCCTGCCAGGCCGCCCCTCACCTGAGAGCAGGGGCTGCACGAAGGCGGGGCCACTGGGCCCCAGCGAGGTGAAGCCTAGAGCTACAGAGCTCGTGGGCCCGTACGAGGTGACTGTTCCAGCCTGGCTGGATGCAGGGCTGGTACCCAGGGGCAGCGCGTGCCCGCCCGCTGACTGCACATAGGTGATTCTGCCGCAGGGAGAGGAAATGGGGAGGAGTGAGGTAAGCTGGCCCCGCCCCACCCCTTCCCTGGCCTCTGAGTGTGGGCTCAGCTGCAATTACCTGGTGGAGGAGGGCAGCAGGACCTTCTGAGGCTGTGAAGTGGGTCCAGGGAGTGTGGCTGGGCTCAGGGGCGGCACCAGGCCGCTGGGTGTGCTCACAGGCACCGGGGTCAGCTGGATGATCTGTGGGGAAGGGCACCCATAGGCCAGGATGAGCTGTGGCCCCTGACTGGGGC